AGAAATTACATATTTTCTGTAAGTGTTTACGTAAAACGTACTTTCCAGAGGAAATTACATATAAAAAAACACAGACTGGCACGACATTCAATTATTTGCACGTATATATAATGAAACACAGCGCTCGCACTGTGCGTAACGTCTGGCGTTCAATTGCGTTAAAAATGGAACTCCCAAGTTGCCGTAACCGTGTCGGTTGTCACCGCGTAAAGAGGGTGACTCAAGTTCGGTAGTATGACATGACATTCACTATAACTTACACACACCATATGTCCGCCGCGTCTACAATAGCTGTCCGATTAACGAGACCTGTCGTGAACCAGTCTTCCAAAATTCGACGATATATTTATTTCATCTTCTCAAGTTTATCGGATGAAAATAAACTATACGCAGGTTCGCGTGAAATTTTGGAGGGTCTTGGTTTCACTACATGTCTCTCTATGTATCTTTATATTTTAGTGTGTCGAGTCGAAGTGGTTTCGTTATTTTATTTATTAATGGTAAATTTTATTTTCCTATGTTTGTGTTTCGTTTGGTTCTTATTTTGCATTGTTTAAAGATTTATTTTATTTTTTTCTAATTCTTCCAGGTGTCGTTGCTGGTTGTACTTGTGGGAAATTAAATGACGTTGCTGTACAAACCCTTTGGGGGAGTTTCCTCCCGGGGTTACGCTCGGCTTTGAAGCCAACGAGGCGGGCCCTCCCCCCCCCTCTCCCGCCTGAAATGACCGTAACCTAGGCTTCGGATAACTGGAACATATATTTAAGTGTTCACCCTTGGAAATTTGTTTTTTCAAACTCATGGGACCCCGATTCTCGAACCATGACCGTATTACTAAACTAACCGAACTACGAAAGACGGCTCCGAAGTTTTTCNCCTTTCGGCTTTCGGCCTTGTTTTAGCACCGAAAAAATATCACCGAATGTCAGGGGACAGGGTTACGTTGGTAAGCTAACGTGTTGTTGTGATGACGTAATCAATTACGTCATCACAACAACACGTTAGCTTACCAACGTAACCCTGTCCCCTGACATTCGGTGATATTTTTTCGGTGCTAAAACAAGGCCGAAAGCCGAAAGGGCCTATTTAATCATTTTCGGCCGATAATTTTCGGCGGCCGAATATTCGGTGCATTCCTAATCACAATGCACCAGGACAGAGGCGCTCACCTCGCTGGATTTCCCTTCAGCCTGCTGTCACATAAAACGCTCCAACAGCTGAGGCTGTGACGCTGTCCACATCGACTATATTGGATTTTATCTACTCATCGTCCATGCGTCTCGCTGTGACCGTAATGATTTACTCGAGCTGCAGTTTAGCATGATGTGCCATAATGGCTTTTCTCTGAGCATCTCTGCCTGATGTGTCATGTGTTGCCTTTTGTAGGAAAAGGTTGAGAAACATGTCAAATCTTCCTCTGGAAAACATGACGTGCCCTCAGTGCAATCTTCTTTTTAAAAGCCTCACATTTTTACAGATAATACAGAGAAACACTACTTTTCAAATACATCAGCAAAATATTAAACTTTTGTCAACCACAGGGTGGGGCTCAGTTGTATGTAATTACATTTGAAGGTTTATCGGCTGTAGAGCAAGCTAGCTAGCTTTCTCTGCCAAGTAGTGACCCATCAGCATAAAAATCTATACAGCAGGAAAGGGTGCTTCAAAATAAAAATTCTGCACGTAGCATTCTCGACCCTCTAACGCTATCTGTGCTTTTTCTGCATGCTTTTAGCGCCACCCAGTACAGTCATAATTGGTTTAAAGAAATACAAACAAGTCGGAGCAATGTTTCCCTATAGCAGAAGGATAATGTGTGGAGCCAGTCCCCCCGATGCAGTAGACATTATTTAAAAAACTTTTTTTCACTCTTTGCAGTTTAGCTTTAGCTGCATGATGCTCTTGTATTTTTCAATGCAAAAAAACCTGTCACAGTGGTCGGTTCATTGAATGAACAACATGCTGGGCCCTGTAGGACATTATCAGCTCTGTTTTAATGTCTTACTTTCAACAGCAACTGTGCAAGTTTCCAGCAAAGCCACAAGCCCAAAGGAGATAGATATGAGGTGTGTGAAGGTCAATAAGCTGTCAATGTAATGTCATGGTAAGCTTGAGGCTTTACAAAGGCATATGTGGTCTCAAATGGTTTATTTTTTCAGTGAGATTTGCACTGTAATTGAGAGCTTAGCATGGGAGCAAAGAACAGGCCTGTGAGAAGATAATTTGCATGCAAGCAGGGAGGAGAGACTTAGTCTTCAGATTGGCGGCATTTATTTCTCTGAGCTTTCAGTGAGCAGGCAGCACTCTGAGCCAAGCAGCGTGTGTCTCTTCCGCCTACACTGACAACGCTGGCAGAGATTCAGTTTTGACTACATGTCTTTCAATATCTGTATTTTGCTTTTACGGTGAGCTGAAGATAATTGTTTCCTCTAAGTTTGAGGGGTCATTAATGGGGGAAGTGTGTCAATATTAGGGGTGTAACGGTTCACAGAATTCACGGTTCGGTATGTACCTCGGTTTGGGGGTCATGGTTCGGTACGGGTTCGGTACAACATGAAAAAGCAAAAAAAAGTCTGAAATGCATAATTCCAGGTTTGTTTTTTATTTATTTTGAACAGTAGTGCAAGGTTCATTTTAAAAACAAGGAACTCTAACATTTTTAATAATTAACTTTATTACACAGTTAAAAACAAACCACAAACAGGACCACACACACTCAGATGGCCATATTATCTATAATGGCTGATGTCAAACAAAAAGGTTCAATAATCTGTAAAACTAAAAAGAATGTCTTGAAAATATTACCGAAATAAATAACAAGAAAGTGTTTCAATCACTTTCAATCACAATCAATAAAAGCCGGGGTCCTCTATTATGGCATAAGGGGATATGCATAGCCGTTAAAAAACATATGCCAAAAGCTTCCGTTATTTATTTTGGTCTCTCGGCTTTCATGTCTATTGGCTTCTTAAAAACAGCGGGGAGAAGCTGTTGAACCCCTGTTGTCTTTTGCTGGGCTCCGGGGAAATCTGGGTGATGCTTTCTGATATGATTTAGCATGTTTGGCTTGTATTACCATTAGCATGCCGCACCGCTGTCGAACAACGCCGACACACCGCCCTCGTCCGATCCACCATCGTTATTGTAATCGACAGGGAACCCGAAATGTTCCCACACAGCTGATTTAAAAGAAGCAGGTGGTTCTTCTAGCTCCTGTGCGTTATCTGAACTCGCAATACTAACTTTTCTTCTTCTTGTATTTTCTTTGTTTTGTCCTGTTTTGTTCTTCTTCTTCATTTGTTGTTTAAGGACGGCTGGCAAACAGCTTTTAGGCACAATACCGCCCCATGGATTATATATAGTGTAGTGGATACTGCCCTGAATGACAGACTTTTTTCCCACTCGTAAAAAAAAAAGGCGTATTCGTCGTGTGAGTGCATGCACCGAACCGTGACGCCCGAACCGTGACGGTACAGGACGAATATGGATACCGTTACACCCCTAGTCAATATACAACATTATAACAAAATACATATTATTATTGGCAATAACTAAATTGATTGTTGGAGTGTTAGATAGTTTTACTTCAACTTTGGCCTATACAGGCTACGTGAGCCATCTTTGTGCCACTCACTGTGGGCTGTATTGCCGTGTGCTCAGTGGTGTAAAGTATGGAGCCCCCTAGGGGACAAGGAGAAGAAAAAAAAAGTTAATACTTTTGCGAGATCTCACAAAACCCCTTTGCGAGATCTCGCAAAACTTTTCATTTAGCTCAATGTACTTCCTGGTCAGTTCGGCAACACAGAAACCACAACAATGGAGCGGTTCATCGATTTTACTTTGAGATAACATCAGTGCTTGGCAATAGGCACGGGTTTCACATAAGTGAAAGACACCTCAAGAGAACACTCTGAGCGAGGGGACATGCACGTCGCAAAGCATACTCTGAACTGAGTTATTGACAGATTCGAATTTTGCGGATCAATAACTCATGAACATAACGTTGTAAAAATACAAACAACATGACTTTACAATCATAGCAAGGTAGACAACGAGCTATAGAGTCGTTTTTATCAGAACAGTTCGATACGCGCCGTCATCCGAGCTAAACTTCAAGAATTGGTCACAATCTGCAGCTGGAGGAGGGAGAGGAGTGCTTAGTGTAACAGTGCAACAGTGTTTTTTGTTTTTTTTAAATAATTTTTTTTCTCTTCTCCATGTCCCTAGGGGGCTCCGTAGTAAAGCAACAAAGTTCACGTATTCAAGTACTGTAATTAACTACAATTTTTAGGTACTTGTACTTTACCTTAGTATTTCCATTTTATGCCATTTTATACTTTTACTCCACTACATTTTGTAAGCAAATATTGTACTTTTTTGTAAGCAAATACAGTTATTTGAAAGCTTACGTTACTAGTTACATTTGGGATTTAGATTATATATCTAAATACAAAATATGAATCATTAAATAAATCCAGACATATGTTAAAAGCTAGCAGGAATATATAAAGCAACTCAAATTAGCTGCACTGTGCAGCTGTGATGAACATGTTAATGCTTCAATAATCACAATCCTTTTATTTAATATATGATTTTAAAATGGACCATTACTCATAACAAGTACTTTTACTTTTTTTTGGTACTTTAAGTATATTTTGATGCCGGCTACTTACATTAATAGCTGCACTGATCAAATATTATTTTTTCACCAATTTTATTTTTTTGTATTCTGAGGTTTTGAGGTTTGCCAGTACGGGCTTCAAATGACTTTTTGATAACAATTTATGACACTACTGATTTAAAAAAGTTCTTAGGCCATTTAATTAATTTGTCACTTTTGTTCCACACCTTCTAAAATGTAAATGCTATTTAGTTTGTCATTGTTGACTGAGAATGCGTGCACTGTACTACATACATAAAACCTTTTGTTGATAAATGCATTTAGAGTAAGTGGGACTCGTCTGACTGTGCTAATGAAAACTTATTTGTTTACTTTCCAGATATCTGTAGATTTACAACTATGGAAGAAGACCTCACAATACTGACTGATTCTCTGAAAAACTGCAACACAGGAGATGAAAAAGAAAAGGTCAAAGACTTTGTGTACAAGCATTTCAGAGAAGTGGCAGACGGGTCGCTCTTCAATAATGCAGAAGAATCTTCCAATAAGGAACATGGAAGTTCTTCCAAGAAAGAGAAACAAAGTCTTAAAAAGGCCCATTGTAAAACTCAGCAAGGTGCTGTCTTCTCTGGAAAGATTCTGAGCTTTGGATGCTCTGTGTGTAAAGATGATTCCACATATAGCCCCAATGATCTCCTTAAGCATTTCCGAGCTGCCCATAAAGGAACCCTTCCTACGTACCCTTGTGACCTGTGTGCTTTTTCCACACACGAGTTCCCTGCTCTTCAACGCCATCGGATTGAGCACAGGAATACTCTGGTTACATGTGAGCTCTGCAACAACGATGTTCAGTACTCTTTGCTATTGCTTACCAGACACTACATCATGTGTCACAGTCTAAATGGACAGTTTAACTGTGACTGGTGCGAGTTTACAACTGTGGATGCAGGTACATTCGTCCAGCACATCCATCATCACAATGAGAGTCCTTGGAAGTGTTTAAAATGCAGACATATCAGCCTGAATGAAGAGGCTCACCAGAAGCATAAGAAAGCTCACTCTTGTACATTCCCCTTCACTTGTCAGATCTGTGGATATGGTGCATCAAGAAGCGACTATCTTAAAAAACACACTGCAGCTGTTCACAAAGAGCATGCTGAGAGACGGAATGTATGGACAGCTTTAGAAGACAGCAGCACTTCAGCAAATTCATCTGCAAGCTTAAAACATTTGTTGAAAAAGGGTGGTGAATCACAGGAGGCTCAGAGGATATCAAAACTAAACTGTCTTTCTGGGATTCAAAACCAAAATGGCAGGCTAATCAAACCAGAGATATCCTTTGAGGAGACCAACCACTTGGTGGATGCAAAAAAGGAAAGAAAATGTATTCATAATAAAGACCAGTCAATGTCAGAGATGTTACAGGAATGTGACACCTCTCCAAGCTCTGATGCTGCCAATCTCGCCAATCCAAATGGACTGACTGTTCTGATGGTGAAAAATAAAATCTCTCTTCCCCCCAACTGCACTACCAAAGTGATGGGATTCAAGATGGTTGATGGCAAAAAACATTTAGTACTCAAAGTAATACCAACAGCAAAGCAAGATTCATCCATCCAGAACCACTCCCTAGTTGAAGATGTTGGCTCAGCACCAAATCCTGAGTCAGATAAAAGTAAAGTCTCTTATGAGAATGGGGAATTCTCTAACAGCAATAACTTAACATCACATTGTTTAGCTCTTTCACCAAGAAGTGGGTCTTCCGTACAGATGGATCAGGACGATATTCTGGCAGTTAAAGTAAAGATTGAGGAGGAAGAAACTTCTGTTTGCAACATTGATTCTTCACCACCTAGAGCTGACGTAGAGGAGCAAACTAACCCTTTACCTAGAAGGTCTTCGACTTGTGCAGATACGTTATACCCAATGACTGATGAGTTTGATCATGCAGTCAAAAAAAATCACGCAAGTCAGATAACCTGCTCAGAGAGAAGCAAGTTTGATAATGATTTAGTCTCTGCAACATTGAAACCTGATGCAATTTACCATAGTGGTCCTCAAATCAGTAATACATCACCAATATGTGCTAGGAAGATCACTATTTTATCTTTAAAAGTTGCTCAGGAAATATTGTCTTTAGAACACGTTTCCAAAGAAACTATTGAGAATTGTGGGGCTGCAGATGAGTTATTAATGGCTGATACAGAAGCAGATAAACTCAATGATGACCAATATTGTCTGAGTACTCCAGAAAAAACTGATAGAGGTAAAAGTCAGATTAAACATAACAACAGCAAGCTAAATGTTAAGCATTTGACTAATCCATCACATCAATCAGAGTTAGCCCAACCCAGTACAGGAAGCTGCAGAGAAAGTGCTATAGGCTCAGAAAACTCAAACAAACAAAACTCCCCAAACCAAGAAGTATTTACATTTCACAATTATTCCAAGGAAACACTTGGCACTCCACCCAAATCTACCCAACACTTTGACAATATGTCGGAACATTCAGCAGAAAAAGAAAATATGTGTGAATCATCACAGTTTAGGTTGACATTGGCAGAGTCTCCAGATCCAGGAGAGGACTCGGATCAAGAAGATGTACCAGATGGTGACATTGATGAGGGCACAGGTAGTGTTGAGGATCCTTCCACTGAGGATGAAAATCCTGATTCAGTGTTCCAAGACTTTAATATTATCAAAATAGAGGAGGATAGCGTTCCTATATCTGACAATCAATCAGAAACAAAGAGTAATTCAACTGGCCTGGGCAATTTTGTGGAGGAACATTCAGATGCAATAATTTCGCAACAACTAAATAAGGAAAGAGTTGAACTCTCTAGTAATGATCCTCTAAAACAAACAAAAACGGCTCTTCGATTTCTTCAGTTGCCAGAGGGTAAGCAGTCAGTGTTCCTGAGAACTGCTGAGAATAAATGTGCCATGCCCAAGGCAACTCCAGGTTTCAAACTGATAACAAATTCTGCAAGTCCCCAGATCAACGTATCTTATATGAAGCCAGGGTTTGAAAACGGCAGGAGGGTAGGTGCATCAGCACCAAAGGCAGGAGCTTCTGAAAAAGGGACAACACTTCTCTCTGCTGTCCAACCAGGTGTTGGCACCACCTCAAATCACTACCTTATCAACAGCCAAGGGTTAAAGGGCCCTGTACTCTTTTCAAACACACCACATAATACGCCTACAGACCAAACAGCAAAGACACAGCCAACTTGCTACTTGGTACAGAGGTCTGTTCCAATTGGTCAGACCCCCAGTGCTCCTGGCCTCAGACTGGCAAGTACACAACTCCCACTGAACTCAAAGCCCGTTCTGGCCATGTCTGCGAACTCTACAGATAAAGCCAACACTTTGCAGACGGGGCGCCAGGCATTCTTGCTCCGCTACATTTCTCCACCCAAATCAGGATTATGGTTGAATAACCAAGAGACAAAGACTGGAACACAGTGTGGCCAAACCAGTGAAAGTACTGGAAACAAAGTCATATTTAAAATTGTCAGTCCTACAGGAAGCCTTCTCACAAGTGGCGCTCCCACCTCAAGCAATCAACCTTTGTTTTTGGCCACCAGACCTCAGACCCAGTGTTTTCTGGTGTCATCAAACAAAACCAATGCAAATTCATCCAATGGAGTAACGAAATTCATCCCAATACACAATACTGCACAGATAGATGTCAATGAATCTTGTATTTCACCCTCTCGGATGAATGTAAAGCTTCAACTGTGTGAAGCAGAGAAACCTGTCCTAGCCCCAAGGCCAATTCGTCCCCCAAGCCAAAGGAAAAGGCGCAGGAAAACATTGTTCGACGAGCTTCCAGCTACAGTGCATAAAGCTAGAAGACTCTCGAATAAAGGACTGGCTGAGAAAGAGACTACTCTGTTATGGAAGCCTATAGCCAAAGAAGTAGAAAGGACACTGAGGCTTGCCCCGTTCAGTTCTCAACAGCAGATCAAATGCCCTCGTAGATTCCAACCTGTTGTGGTGCTCAATCATCCAGATGCTGACATTCCCGAGGTGGCCAATATTATGAAGGTAGTAAACAGGAACAAAGGTGCAGTTACTAAAGTCTCTCTATCTCAGAAAACAATCCAAGCTCTCTCTGAGCAAGGAGCTCTATGGAAGAATTCCTTGACCAAAGGTGCATCGTCTCATTGCGACGATTCAAGACCCCGGCCAGTTCTGAGTTCTGTCAGAGAGCGGTTCCTCCTGAAAATGAAGTTGAGGAAAAAGAGCAAAAAGAAGTATGAGGTAGTTGACCCTCGACCACGTTGTGGACAAGAGCCTGTGGTGTTTGACTGCTGGTTTTGTGGTCGGCTCTTTAACAACCAAGAAGATTGGATTGGCCACGGCCAGCGACACCTCATGGAGGCAACTAGAGACTGGAATAAACTGTTCTGAACATTTCAAATACACCTCCGAGTGGAATAACGTTCTCTTTTTTGGGGTGAAACAAATGGTTCAAGTTGTATATTTTTAATGACCTTCCACACTATTTTTGTTTAATTTTGTGCTCCTGTAAATACATATTCTGAAGCAAATCATAGTTTATCTTTTCATAGGTGCATTTTCTGGTAAACTGTACTGTAAGCATGATCTCTATCATGCATGCACAGGTCACATTGAACTGCGAAAATGGTGCACTGTAATTAGGAGAGTGGCAAGATCACTAGTTCGATTAAAGGGACAGGAGTATTCTGAGCTGGATTGAATTGCTCAGGGGATTTCATATTAATATGGTTTGTCATTTTTGCTCATACATTTTAAGTAAGCTGATGCCTAGTTTAAGGGACTTTAGTATCTTATTTGCTTAACTTTTTTGAAGCTTGTATAAAAACTCCTTTGTTAAATGCTTGTCATGGAAGAATGTTCTGGTCCAAATTATTACATTTTGTATGATGTTTTATTAATGATGATTTCATTTTACTCTATTCTATCATCAAGGGTAGATAACAGTTTCCTTGCCAGGGTTTTGTCAACCTGTAGCATATATTTGTAATAACTAGAGCTGAGAGTTTCCCAAGTAATCTCTTAAGTCTGCCATCAGTGTTGGTTTAATAAAATACCGTTGCGTGTTAAAATAATGGCTTGGTAATAATAATATAACAAATCCAATTGCTTTTATTTTTTTAATTTAAGATACCGTTAATCAACCGCAACACTTGGAATTATTTCACATTTAAAGCCTGTTTGGAAGGTAACCAAACCTGTATAAACCAGAATAATGTCAAACATGTTTCTGAGGGTCAGAAGGACAATGGTGGTTTTTATGATGGGATGGATTGGCTGAATTCCCCCAGAAATCACAACATTTTTTACTTTACAGGAATAGTTTAGGGTGTGTAAAAAATCTGAAATAGCTTGTTTGCTATAGAACAAAAAAACATTTCATCTTTATATCAAATACTTTTAGTAATGAATTTAAAGTTACTGGCACATTTGTTAAAAAACGAATCATTTCTACTGTAGTAGGAGCCCTGGACTCTGTATCAACTCTCACCTGTTCTTGCATTCTGTTATTTAATCTGTTCCCTACCATCAAGTCCAATATTTGGACATTTGTTTCAATGTTACGTTTGACACTTTTTTCATGGCGACAGGACAGGGACTTTGTTTCTTTAGGATGTTAATGATTGTATTACATGATGATGGATCTGTGGAATTCATGTTTTATTCTATTTAATATGCAAGTGATTGAACAATATAAGCCATACTGATGTTTTTATACTTTCACAATGCTTGTTTGGAGCCCGTCTAAATTACTGAAGTTCTGACCTCAGCAGGTCCTGCATTTTACCAGCATTTACTGAATGTTCATCTTTATCTTTGCTACAATCATCAGCAACAAACATTTATTCCACATTAGGTCAAGTCCCTGAAATCGTTTTCTGTAACATTCCTACAAATGTATCATGTGTAGTATCTACATTCCACTCATATTTGTGACTTACAAATGGAACCAAACAAGCATAAACCTTCACTAGCATTATGGGGAGTTCTCTTTTGTAAGACATTGTTAAACATTATGGAAAATATGCTTACTTAGAGTGAGCTGAGAATATTGAAATGTCTGTGTCCTTACTACAGAGCTGGAGTTAGCTTAGTTAGCCTAGCTTAGCATAAAGAGGGGAAGCAGGGTAAAGTCAAAAATACTCTACCTACACCTGAAAACTCCCTCTTTAATACGCTGTTCATTAAATCTGTGTTGTGGTTTAAGGGGGAGTTGGCACTATTTCTTGAAGAACACCGTCGTATCCATCCACCCACCCAATACTTCTGCGAAGTGCCCCGGCTACAGAGTGTTTTTAGATATGCCAAGTCAGCATAGGCCTAGCTCTCTGTACAGACTGCTTGAAGACAGTGGCTGAGGTTCAGCCTGTACATTCTTAAGACACAAGGCTCATTAAAGTTATATAAGTTAGATAAATGTTCCTTAATTCCAAATTTAAACTAGCATTGTATTTATACGTTTTCTTATTTTGGAGCTCACCCCCTAATGCAGTTAAAAACGATCACAGCCAAATGGATGCCAACACCAAATGACCTCTGGCTTTTATTTCAGTTTGTTTCAGAGTTTCATGTTTCTGATGGGAATGCACAGAGTCTTCTTCTCTGCTCTCAGGCCAAAGAACTGTTTGGTGGTATAACATGTAAACAGTTGATGGGATTTCTAACACGAGTTCTGAACTGTGATAACTACAAACCACTCATATGTGATACACTACTACATCAGCTAATTGTGTCCGTTGTATGAGCCAAAATTGAAACGTGAATAATATTGATATCTGTTTTGAGTTTGTACATAAACACAACTCCATCATGTACAGTACACTGCTCGTGTCCACATATTTGCCCAGTCTTTCCTCATGCAAAGTGCCTCGAATGTCCTTTAGCAGGTTGACAATGAGTACTGTATTATTTTGTTCAACTTAGTGGTTCACTCTCCTTTAATAAATGTACATACCCTATGGATTTATTGTGGTGGCTTGTTATTGTTATCAGGAATAATGAAGTGGCCTGTCCTGATGGATGTTTAAAAGTGATGATGCTGAGAAGATCCACACGAGGGCAGCACCAGACAAAAGATTACAGGATGTCCCATCTGACTGAGTCAGCTCAATAATCCCATGTGGGCAAAACCCAGAATTTTTTTTTGGCATCAAACTATATTTTAACTAGATATTCTTATTAATAGAGGACTTCAAAGAACAGTATGGAGTGCACAGATGCTGTGAATTTGTTTTATTTGAAAACCATTGATAACAGCAAACTTAACTGAATATCTCATCATAACAATAATAAACCAAAGTCCTCTGATGTAATGAATTCCCTGCACAGAAACATTAGTGTTCATTTATCATTTCTGACCGTGGTCCTGTCTGACATTTAATGTAAACTCCCAAAAGCTTAAAACACACTTATCATAGTATATGGATTGAGCTCTGGGTATATAAAAACCTTTTATACTAAGAGAATGATGAAATATGTTTGACCTTGGAGGTCATTCAAACTGTGACTGGAAAGCAACTTCTAATTACACTTCACAATGTTTCCCTTGAGATATAATCCATTCTGCATTGTTCTGTTTAGAATAGTTATATTGTTACTTGTTGAGTTTGTTGAAAACAAAATGACTCGCTAAAATTCCTGCTCAATCGCTCTCTGAATTAAGAAATAGAAAGTGTGAATAGAATACAATAAATCTGGAAAACACTCAACTAAAAGGCTAAACTGAGTGCCTTGTTTAAGCAGAATACAGTATTATTTAAGGTAAGAGCATATAATATTGGCCTATTGCGTAATCCTTTGATTTTGTACGAACAGTTATTTTGGTTAAAGATGAAATATATCAGAATTGGATTGGCTCTGATGTACACTCCTTTATTAAAGAACTCGTTTAAGATATCTGTATTGGTGCTACACCTGTACTTCAGCAAAATAAAGCACAACAACAGATGCATTTCATTGATTAAGTACATTTAACACAATACCGTTTAAACTTCATATGATATAGAAACTACTTTGTGTTATAAGGCAAACAAATAACAAATTTGGCATGTGAGGTGATGTTCATACTGTAAGAAATCACAATGTTTTTGTTATTATTTTAAATGTAACGTTGAATCTATTTCATGACAGTAATGCATACAAATTACACAGAACACTCACTGTGTTGTTGAGCAGTGATGTAATGATTGAATATCCTATAAATACTCACTCTCAAGTTATCATGCATTATATATCTGTATATATTTGTAACTGTTTTAATTATAATGCTGGTGACGAAAAGTGGATATAAATATATAATATACATTTATATAAAATGAGATAATAGAATCAAACATATATAACATAATTCAATATACCCGCAATATTTTGTGTTATAAATATCTAATGAATGGAATATTTTGTGCATGAAGACAGATAATCTGCAGAAGTGTGCCCAGAGGGAGGGGTGTGCAGCAGAGACGTTTGTGCAGAACATTTACAATAATCAGGTATGAGTCATGGTATGTAGAGCGAGAGTGTTTATCTGTGTGTGTAGCATGTGTGTGTAGCATGTGTGTGTAGCATGTCCTGTCGGCAGGTGCAGGCAGTAGGCCAGGTCTGCAGGCTGCTGTACGGCTTCAAAATAGGTCATGTTCACATCAGGGATGTCTGCATCATCTTTCTGACTCCTCTGCTGCTGGAGTGGTTCAGGCCAGTGTCCCGTGGCTGTGGAGGAGAGCAGGGGGTGGGGGAGGGGATGGATGGATGGAGAAGACCTACACTTGAAGCATTATCATCATCAGAGAGGCTGAGACACTCTTCTCTATCAGTCACATTGTTGAAAGTAAAGTTCCTTCCTTTGTTTCCTTTAGCCACTGAGAACCCTTCCAAACAAACATTTCTAACGCGTTATCTTTTCCTTTATTAGTTTGACTTACAGATGTGATGACCTGCCTGGCTTCTGGTAATGTCTTGATGTTATACGACTCGTAGTAAATCAAAAACAAAAAATAGTCAAACAAATGAAAACAATCAAAAGTCAAACTGAATAATCAACACACTTAGATAATCTTTCTTTCTCTTATGTTGCACGTAATATAATTTAAATAAAATAAAGTGAAATACTGTCTCGGCAGCGTCTCCGACAGCAGCTCTGATAAAAGTGATAATAGGCCAATGATAGTAAATATACAACGTTGAATCTTTAGTCACATAATGTGAGTGATTGTGAGTGGGTCAGGAGGCGGAAGGCATCACAAAGGCGGAACTCGTGTCATACACTGTATGTTATCAAAATTACAATTGAAATATTGTAGTCATTATTATCATCGAATAGATAGAAGAGAAATTAACAAAAACATTTTCATTAAAAAATACTGGTTGCTTGTTACTAACGGGTCATACCAACCATTTCAGGCTGTTCTCAATCACTTTACTGATATCAAGGAACAGCATTGCATTACACACAGGTGGAGCCTGGTGATCTGTGGAGGAAAATATTTTCCTAGGCCTTTACCCAGTTATCACTCTACTCCTAAAGTCAGCGTTCAAGCTATAAATAGTTTTGTTTAGAACTTAATAAATACTTGGGTTTTGGAGGAGATCTTCAGAATCGTTAAGGCAGGAGCTGTGGCTTGTGTGTAACCTTGTGGCCGCAGCAAATGTCTTTGTCAATTCACCGGCCGTAACTCCCAATACTTCATACAGTGTCTGACAACAAGTTGAGCTCTCCCTTGTTCTCATTGTGTTATGAGTCCTTGCTCCAGAAGTTTCCTTTTCAGTCTAGATAACAGACTACAACGACGACAACGAGAAGCAACATCTGCAGGAACAAGGAGATGGTGGTGGAATACAGGCAGAGCAGGAAGAGGCCCCAGCATCCCATCACCATCAAGGGCTAGAGGTAGAGTTCCTGGAAGTACAGATGAACGACGAATGGACCGACAACACTGATTCTTCTACAAAAGGGACAGCTGTTCTTACTGAGGAGGTTCAGGTGGTCCTTCAACCTGTGTGCGAGGCTGCTGCAGATGTTCTACCAATCTGTAGTAGCCGGGGGGGNNNNGGGGGGGGGGGGGGGGTCATCGACACAAGCTAGTGAGGAAGGCTAGCTCTGTAAGAGGTGGCAGAGCAAGCTAGACCCTATCCTGGAGAACCCCACCCACCCCCCATGTAGAGCTTGTTCGGACAAAGACTCTTCCCTACTCAGCACCACAAAGCGCATGGACCAGTCCTGCACAACCTTAGCTCGACCCACCCGGAAATAAAACTTAAGCAACCTGCAGACTGGCACACAGACGTGCGGGAATGAGCATGCGTCATTAGGTTCAGAAATTCACAGCCATTAAACCGTAATGTTTATTTATAGCCGTTTTTAATTCCTTTTACTTCCGGGGATGGCATTTGCCCTTTAACAACTATAAAAGTGGTTATATGTGGATAATATCCTGCTGAAGTATCATAAACGGAAAAATCCCATAGGTTTTTGTGTATGCAGCCCTTGCAATGCTAACTTTACAATGCTAACTTTACACAACAAATATCTTTCATTAATGCACCACTTTATTGTATTTATATATATATTGATCATATTCATAATTTAATTATATATCTAGTTCCATTTTACTTAATTCTATTGTTGACATTTTAATTAATACTGTTACTTAAATTTTGTATTTCTTATTCTTATTATCCCTTTTTAATAATAATAATAATACAGGGGATTTGTAAAGCATTTTTCCTAATGCTCAAAGACGCTTTACATAAAATGAGAACAGAAACAAAACAAAATATGAAATTATTATATGATATATATATTGTATATGAAAACAAATATTGTTCAAAATGCTGTCTGAGAATATGATGCACAGTGTGTGTCATTGGAGGAATGCAGGCCATATGTTGAACCTATGCAGTCTGACTTGTTTTCCTCAGCATCACAAACCTTGAGCTGGGGGGTTGCAGCAGGGAGACTGGTGCCCTCAACTCAACATTGGTTTCAGTTCAATTCAGGATACAAACAAACAGACATAAATGTTATTTCATTTTTCATCAAGAAATCAGCAACACGGCAACCATCTTGGTTTCATTCCTCCTCATCTTTCCTGGTCTGCCTTTAGGCTTCAGTTTTATATTGTTCAAACAGATCTAAAACATCATGGTAGAAAACATACAATAATAGAGTCCCAATGCAGTGGAGGAAGAAGCTGAGGACTTCCCAACACAGTTAAATCAAGTCTAATCAGAAACATCTTCATAAGCCTTTTGACAGACTCACTTAATAAGACGCTGGGCAACTGATCCATACGACCGTGACAACTACAGTATGTGTCGGTGAAAATGTGCGTTAAGCTGATGCTCTGTGTGTGTGTGTGTGTGTGTGTGTGTGTGTGTGTGTGTGTGTGTGTGTGTGTGTGTGTGTGTGTGTGTGTGTGTGTGTGTGTGTGTGTGTGTTGTTTGAGACATGCATGGCAGGTGCTGATGACCTGGATGACTCAACTTCCTCATCTGCCACATTATGTTGATATACCACTCTTGTGTTGTGCCATAAAACCATACAAACTTGAATCATACTTTAGTTTCTAGTTTATATTAGAATATTGTAAGATAGCTAATGAAACATGTTGTCAGTTAACATTATGCCGACATGTTTGTTAAAAAAAGAAAAACAACATAACTAAGGTGGTATAATATTCCTCCCATAATAATTGCTGTTGAAAGTCAGCAGAATTTCAATAGAACTAAAGGGAGAGAAGGCTGTCAATATAGAACATATACATTAATGTGTCAAAAATAATGCAATTTTATGATTATATTAACTTATGAAATGTAACATTCTGGTAGAAGCTTTTCTGTATTTTTGTTATTCAATTGTACTGTTTACTATTCAATTATACAATACGTTTTGACGTTTTTGAAGCTGCAAAAGAAATATGACTCTGGTGCTGGTAGCTCGGCCCTGTACAGAAAGAGAACAATAAC